TCTTGCCATCACTGTCACTTTTTTCTACCTCTGGCCTCCTTGAAGCTGGTTTTAGTTTTAACTCTCAAATACTAACTTATTAAAGCTTGTTATTCGTGGGAAACAGACCGTTTCTGTTTAAATGACATCTTGTTCTGTCTTCCAGTTTGAATACCAGCAGGCCCAGCTGGAAGCAGAGATAGAAAACCTTTCATGGAAGGTGGAGCGGGCTGACAGCTATGAGAGAGGAGTGGTAGGAGGAGAATGCGAGCTCAGCGCCAGTGATAGAGGGGTAAGAGTGCAAAATAACTTCTTAGAGGGGAGGCGTATATTATAGAACAGGATTATCCTATTTATAAGATGGTAGAAGTCCAGGTGTAGATGGCATCAGTTTTCTGATCCTCCTTAAAAATAATAATTGTCCTGAATTGGGATCTCTTGATCAAACCAACACTCTTTAGTAGGACGTGGGTGTAAATTAAACATGATTTGATCTGCCATTGATGAGTGTTTGAATTTAAATGTTATATCTAAGAGTGACCACGGTCTTTTTATAGTGAATAAAATATTTCCACCTAATTTATAGTTTGGTGTTTTAACCTTGAATTTTTTCACATTAGAGAGGTTTTTGTGAAAAGCCCACTGAAAAATCCACTCTTAAAGCAAATGTTTTCTCTAAATGGATTTCAATGATCTATCATTTATTCTGGATTTTAATAGTATTAGAATTTTTTTTAATTATGCTGATTTATTATCATTTATTGTTTAATAAAGGTACTAATTTTCTTTGTTTTTTTTTATTAAATTCAAGCAAAACTGCACTGAAGAAAATGTTTTGAGAGAAAATATTTATTTTTAGAGTAAATAAAAGTTAATGAAATTGACATTTGGGGAATGATCTCCAAGAGGAAAAGACTCAAAACTTTTTCTTCCTCAATTTTTTCTCTAATGTGAAAAATGTCATGGGTGTGTTCCTCTTAATGAGTGGGGGGAAAAAAGGCAATAAAATGCATAACTTTATTTCCATATGCATCTTTTTCAGTGGTTTAGGACTGTGGGTTTTTTAGCATCTTGTATTTATTTTGCAGGATTTGGAGAATCAGATGCACATTGCTGAGCAGAGGCGACGCACGCTGCTGAAGGATTTCCACGACACCTGAAGCTCAAATCGCGACTGCAAAGCACCAGCATCCTCCCTCCTTTTTTTCCTACCTTTGCTTCCTACCAGGATCATCTGTTGTTGCAGTCATACTTACCCTGCTTCCCTCACCCTTATCATTTGCTTCCTCAGCTCTGTCTTTCTCTCCTCTTACACCCAGAATGCTGCAGGGTCACAGAATGTCAGTCATGTATGGACCCCCCCTCCTTTCTTCCCCAGCTGTTTGATATATTTGACACAACATCTGTTGTGGTTACACTCGTTTCAACTCATCAGATCTGATCTTGTGGGTCATTTTGTGAGGTTTTGTGTCGATAAATAGAGTAAAATCGCTATGACCAAGCAACTACAGGGATTGTGTTGCCTGCTGGAGATCAGAATCTACCTGAATAGTTTTCCTTTGATGGTGGGATTATTGCTTAAAAGGAGCAGCCTGTACTGTTGTGTCGCGGAGGAATAGGTGGTGGAGTAATCACCTTTTTTTTTTTGTTTTCTTTAAGGCAACAATGCAGCCACTGGATCTGTATTTTGGGGATATACAGCCACTTTTTAGGTCTAACACCTGTGTTAATCCCTTGATTGAAACATTTTAAAAATGGCGATTTTGCCACGTCCTGATTTAAATTCTAAAAGAGCTCCCAAAGACATTATTTAGCCTCACTCAATTTGAGTTTTTTGTTTGGTTGTTTTTTTCTTTTTGTTGTTTTCTTTTTTTTTTTTTTATATAGACTGTTCTCAAACCAAATCTAAAAGTAGTGATATTTAAGTCCAATAGAGATTAGGAACATGTTGGGATTTGAAAGGCAGCTACTTTACAATTATGACACCATTTTTTTTTTTTTCTTCTTTCAACTTTTACTGTTATTTGGTGTCGCAGCATGACTGAAACAAATGACCTAATAATACAGAATTATAATTCTGATACTGAAATAATGACCTAAATATGTTCACAAATTAAGAAGATGGAATAAGATCTAACCTCCTTTCTTAAAGGTACCTCCACCGATCTAATCTCTTGTCATAATCAAGTACTACAGCTCCTCCCACCGACATTCAGATGGTGTGCACACTCCAACGCTTCATTACAAAAAACATTTGTTTTCCCTCCCATCTCATGCTCTCTTCTTCCTTTACTATCATCCCAGAGTTTCTTTTTTTTTTTTTGCTCTGTTTTCTGTTTTCCTTCAGCTCATGATGCTCACCTCTGAAAAATGGCTGTTGATAGTTAGATCATTTAAAAAAATGGAAAAAAGAAAAAAATAATAAAAAAAATGCTGTAATTTTCAATGGTTGTACATTAATACAGAAATAGAGTTACTGAGAGTTTTTAAAACCGGACTGAGTCTCTTGTGTGTTTATTGCAACTTTAGTTCCTCTCTCCACAAAAACCTCTGATATAATCATACTGGCACCTTGTTATGAAATCAGTCTTCTGCCTCATTTAGTTAAGTACTATTATAGACCAAGAAGTATTTTTACAGGTTTTCAGCTCAGCGGTACTAAATACGTGTTACTCGGATGTTTAGACTACTGTCTCTGTGAGGTCTAGAAGCACAAGATCTATATCCAGCCATTCAGCAAAGATACTGCTGTACATCTTATTTTGGCATTTGACCAATTGGATGAGCCCTTGAATGATATATTACCTACTGGAAATTAAGTTGAAATTGCATCTGCTTATAGTATGGAGAAGTTGATTAATAAAATATTCATATCTTTCAATTCAGAAATAAGGGAAGGCCAAAGAAAGCCTGCTTGTGAACTGAACTTTTATCTGTTCTTTGAAAAATTCCCAGAAATCCGTAAGGAAACTGAATCAGAAGTGATTTGGGTGTTTTATATTTATTAGATTTAAACAAACATGGATCTCTAATAGAAATTCAACTGGAAGCTGTAACTTATGAGTTGCTGTTTGTAAAGTTACACAGTCAAAAAGAGAGCAATATTTTTGGTTATTTACCATGTAAGAGAAAAATAAGGGGATTATTTTTTCACTGTCATTCATTCATTTATAAAAATCAAAGTTTAAAACTAAATATTTATCCTTCCATCCATTTTCTAACACGCTTATCCCGAGTGAGGTTGCGAGGGGTGCTGGTGCTTATCCCCAGCAGTCATTGGGCGAGAGGTGGGGTACACGAACTAAATATTCAGAGATTTATCATTTTAACTAGATATTTATTTAAAAAAAAATACTTTGCCAAATATTTAGTTTTGAAATAAATTGTTTTTTAAATATTAAGTTTGGAGCAAAATATTTAGTGTGCAAATTCAATATCGTGTAATAGTTTGTAAAAAATATTTAATTTGCAAAATAAATGTTTAGTTTTAAGCTAAATTTAGCTTGTTGACAAAATTTTCAACTGACAATTTAAATATTTAGTTTGGAACTTGGATTTTTATAAATGTATGAATCATACAGTGTAAAAAGGAACCCCTTATTTTCCTTTAACAACACGCTAATTAACTAAAAATATTGCTTTTCATTTTTGGCTATAACTTTACAAATGGAACCCATAGAAATTCCATAAGTCTGTTTGCGAATAGGTTTATTTAAAAAAAAAAAAAAAAAAGTTACAGGTAGAGAACCATATTATTTCCACAAAATTAGAGTTTTAAACTCTGATTTACTATTCTATTTGTTTTAATTATTTTCATTTTTTTTTTTAAAGAAAAAAATAAAGGAATGGGTCAACTGGACATGAGGAAATATCAAACAGTTCCTCTTTCATCAGTTCATCCGTCTATAATTGCTAATATTGTTGATTTTACTTTATTAGAGAAAGGAAAAAATGAAAACCTGTTAGATCTAATTTCTGTATAAATCTATTTAGACCATAAGTACTATGGATATGTCCAATTTATACAAATGCTTCAAAATTTCAAGGAGCAATAGTAGGGTGTCATTCATTGTTCCAGAATTCAGTATTAAAAATGTAAAAGAATTACTGATGGAGTATCAGTTTATGCAGGAGAGATGATGTGAAATCATTTTGGCTTTAGGATGGATTGAGGAAGTTTGTCCTGTAAGAAGTATAATATCTTCTGATTCAAGTTCATCATTATATTCAATATTAATCATTCTATTAGTAGACCAGACCTTTTATTAGACACCCAATTTTTAATCTATAGAATTCAGGCAATGGGTTTAATAGTTATTTTTACATGGATACCGTCACATATAGGAGTGAAAGGAAATGAGTTGGGAGATAAATATGCAAAACAAGCTACAAAATGTGGTTATATTGATATACCATTTAGTAAAGAAAAAATTAAACCTATTATTAACCAAAAGGTTAAGGAAAGATGGCAAAAGCAGTAGGAATGGATAGAACTGGAAGGTGGCTTTACAGTGTTTAAAGAAAAGTTGGTACAATAAGGAGAACAAGAAGAAATAGAAAAGAGGAAACCATTATATCCAGATTATGTTTTGATCATACAATGTTAAATAGTACATTATTTAAAATGGGAAAACATCCAACAGCAAATTGGGATTTTTGTTTTCAAGAGGAAACATGTTTGGTTAGTCTGTTCTTAATATTCTGTTGAGAGAAGGGAATTAGTCGATTACAAGAAAATAAATTGTAATTAAATATACAAGATATTTTGGACAAACTTTCTATTTCTTAATGTTTCTTTTTTGATTTAATGAAATACCTTAAGAAAACAAAATTGATATAAAGAATATAAGAAGTATTTACCTATTATTTTATTTATTTTTGTTTTGTGTTGGAATTTATATATAGCATCTCGATCCACACTCCATTCCAGTAGATGGCGGTAACGCGCATCAATAGGTTGCTTGCCAATCGCCATAAGAAAAGAAGAAGAACCGGACGTGGCGTCAGTGTCGGAAGTTGTCAGAAGCGGCGCTGCACGTGTTAACTGAACATGATCTGCAGGCCCGCGGAGACAAGGAGGCCAGGGAAGGACACTCTGTACAAACTCTGCTTTATTTGAACATTAAAGAAACCCAGAGAGAAAAAGCTGCCCGCGCGGCTGGACCAAACCTGGACCGTTAGCTTAACGGAGGCAGCAGCGTCATTAAAGAGCAGAAAGTTCTGGGTCTGTGTTGTCCGCCAGCGCGTGTCCTCCCCGGCGTCCTCCTCCAGACCTCAGTTTTGTTTTTATTTTGTTAAAACGGTTTCATAGTTTGGTTGTGACTGTCCATTTGGAGCATGGCGGACTACCTGATCAGCGGGCAGACCAGTTATGTCCCGGAGGACGGGCTGACAGGACAGCAGCTGTTCAGCTGTGGAGACGGACTCACTTACAAGTAAACTCTCTTTAAAATAGGAGCAAATATTTAGTTTGAAATAAATACAGTAGATGTTCTCGTATTCAATATTTTTTAAACAATCTATCATGTGTTACTACCACAGAATAACAAAGATGACCCTTAGATATTCAGCTAATAGTGAGAAAGTTTTAAAGTGTTCTTCTAGTCTTTGTTCCAACCATTGGGATCCTCTATTTATAAACATCAATAAGAAAGAATCCTCATAAAGCTTTATGATCATCCTAATAAAGTTTTAATATTTTTTTTTATTTGGGTATTTTTACAACAAGGGACAAGTTTAGAAATAAATTAAAGCAGAGTTTATTTCAGTTTTAACCAGTAAGAAATTAGGCCTGATTAGGTGGATCCCGAATACTCTTAACATTTAATTATTTAGTAACCTAGAACTTTGCCAGAAGCTGTGAATTCTTTCACCATACTTTCTCAATTGTTTACACTGTGCACAACATGGGGATCTCACTCCTTATTGGTTGACTAAGCAATTAACTGAAAAAAATGTTGCTCCTATACATCTGACAAGTTGTTTTTACTAATGACACCCTCTGATGTTTCAGCCATACAAAAAGCTGACACTCACTCCCAAGATCTGTTTATAGCCCAGTTCCTTGTCTGACCAGCCTTTGTAGATTTTCTGGCACTGTTCTGAGACATGAATGTGCTCATTTCTGTCATCACTTAAACTTACTTAATGCAGTTAGTCTAGTTATGTCTAGCAGACTGGCTTAGTCTAAGATCTAAATGTTTTTTGGAGGTAGGGTTGGGAGTTGATAAGATTTTCACGATTCCAATTCTCTTCGATTCTGTGAAATGATTCGATTCCTTATCGTTTCGTTGAAACAATTAACTTGATAAGTGCACGGTGACATTCGTCTACCTTCACCTGGGACATTCGATTTCTGCCTGCCTCAGCAAAAACAGAAGGCAGTGAACAGGAGCTGCAGCCTCTAACCCAGCCAGGCTACCTGATTCCTCACAGTCATCTAAATCTAATGGAGAATGCATCGGTTTAATGAAAAAGCATTACTCTAAAATTTTGGGAAATAAACTAATATCCCCCTGATTTAAATAAACGAGCGTCACCTTTCTCTCGCTCCCTGAACTGCGGAGCAACTTAGTAGCATGTTTAATAACCCCAAAGAGAGGCAGGAAATTGATTCCCAGAAATGGCATCTGATTTACTAGGAACCACATTAAGCACAGCCAGTGATATAAAACTAGCTACTTACCACCAGAGTTGCCTTTTTCCATGCTGGTCATAACTTTAGCTTCTGTCCGGAAGCATCAAAAACACAGCATTCGTTAAAATTTATGCCATGTTGTGTGCGCAGGTGTTTCTGCATGTTGGATGTTAATGATTGCAAGGCACCTTGTTGCCATCTTTCTCTTCCTCAAAATGAAGCCAAACTTTCGATCGCTTTAAATGCTTTTTGTTTTGCTTTTCTAGACTTACGCCTGGTCACGTCATACTTGCTTACTGAATGCCGTGTGCATAACTTGCGTAAAAAACGTGAGTCGTACTGCCGGTGCTGCCTGGAATCATTAAGAGAATGATTAAGCGAGCTGCCAAACAGTGCCATGGAATTGCAACACACGGAACTGGTTCCGAACAGGAACCGGTTTTTGATTCCCATCCCTACTTGGAGGCCATTGAAAATAGAAATACCCATAATAGAATTGACAAGATCTTAAAAAGTGTTGAATGCTGTGTTTCCATTCTTTATTTTCTGTCCTGTTTTCTAAAATATCTTCTATCTCATAATCATTTATCCTCGTTCGTTTTTGTTTTTTTAGCTACCCATTCTTTTGTTTATCCACCCATCTTGTTTTTACAGGGTTCACAATAATCACAAAAAAAAATCAGAATTTGTGGATTTCGATATAAAACGTACAGAAACCGATTAAAGTCAACTTTCATGTTAAAGTAGCCGGTGTTGGGGGTACATGTTGAAGCTATTTTTTCAATTTATTTATTGGATTTTCATTTTGTTACACAAACACAACATTCTGAACACATAGGTAATCTGAGAGAGGAAAAAATACCTGATTGCAAATATTAAGGGTGTATATGCAAGTTGGCAGGAAAAGAAACTTAATGCAACCAAAAAAAAAAAAACCTAGATAAACAAAATAAATATAAATACAATAAAATAAGTTAAGTGCATTATTGTTATCAATGTTGTCATAAAAAAAAGACAGGTAAACACGATTACAAATCATGTTAGGTCAAGATGAGATATCACACAGAAGGGTCCCAATGTTCTAGCAAAATTATCTTTACCTTTTAACTGTGGTGCTCCAGTTGCATTGTGTCATTCATTACTGTTTTAAACATATTAAATGTAGGTGCTGTAGCTTGATTCCAGTTAAGCAGTATATATTTTTTGGCTACATAAGCAATTATACCAATCCATTTATTGGAGATCGGCTCTAGAGTATTATCTGAATCTGTACCAGAGATCAAATAGAGGTGAGACTTTGATTGAATTTGCAGAAGTTTGATTGTGAGACTATGCACTGACCTCCAGAAATGTTTAGTTTTTGCATTTCCAAAATACCTGGATAAGAGAGAAAGTACACATTTTACAGCAATGACATTTAGGAGACACAGCAGGATACATTTAGCTCAGATGGACTAGTGTTGGGTACATTCTGTGCATCAATTTGTTATTTTGTTTGGTAATTTTGTTACAAGATAAACAAAAACATCATCATGTTGAAGCTCTTAGAGCTGTTAGATCACCTTTTCCAAGTTATTTTGTTGGATTAAGTTGACAAGCTATTTTTATTTTTTTTTTTCTCAGTGACTTCCTGATTTTACCGGGCTACATTGACTTTACTGCTGACCAAGTGGTGAGTAAAGACAGAAAAAACATAACTTTTAAACTGGCTCTGGAATTGATATTTTATCAAGTTCTTCTCATCATACGGTAAATCCATTGGTGCAATATTTGACATTAGAATAATTTGGAGATTAGGGGGAAAAAAGATGATTAAATTTTAATTGGACTAACTTGCCACACATTTTCAGACCCCTATAACAATCAAGAAAACAATCAAGAAAATGAGGATTGAGTCCAGCAAACATGTGGACCTGATCTTTATTAGACATTAAATTTGTAACAGAATTTCAACCTGTGCAATTTTGCTGCAGGAATTCATTTGTTAAAGAAATCAGCGGCATAAATTCAGCGGCTAAATCTACAACAGAAACATTGGTTGCCCTATTGGTAAAAAGGAATGACCCTCTCCTGGTCAAATTAGGAAAAGATGGCTGACACAAGGCCTGAAAGAGAAGGAATTATTTTTTAAATTTTTTATGAGAGTTAAGGCTTATATGCATATATGGTCTGTATTGTCTTAAATTTAAATGTAAATGAGATTGAAAAAATGTGAAATGTAACATGATTTGAACTTTGATAACAGAAAAGTGTGCATTTAGATGTACTAATGAGGCTTTTTTGTTCTATTTTCCATTGTTTACATGGATGTAGCAGTAGATGATTACTAAGGACAGAGCCCTGAAACATGACAGTAATCTGATTATCTGGAGTCGCTTCACTGCCTCAGAATCTGGCTGATAGGCTTTAGTTGACAGATATACCAACATTGGTTTTATGGGAAAATAATCCTGAAACCCCTACTTTTAATGCAATTGGTTTATGCCGGAGCACAATCTCACGGTCTCACGTCTGAATGGTAAAAAAATAATGGTTTTGGTGTGGCCTAGTCAAAGTTTGCGCCTAAATTTGGTTGACATGAGATGGCAGGGCCTTAGATGGGCAACTCGTGCAGAAGGTTACCTTTTTAGAAGGAATTCTCTCTCAGTGATCTATTTCACTTATTTAATGGCAGCTGTTACCAGCAATGAAGACTCCATCACTATTGGATCATAAAGGACCGGGTTTGATTGTATTTTTCCATTTAGTGAAAATAGATTTTTTTTTAGATTTTATTTTTTCTAAAGGCATGATAGTTGGACAAAAATGCGAAAACAGAAGAAACTAATTGGGCATATTTTTTTTTTATTTTTATTTTTTTATAGTTGTAGGGGAAATACAAATATATTTTTTGTTAAAATCTTGAATGAAAATCAAAAAACAAATATGATCTCATTTAAGGTTAAGGGGATTTGGAAACTGGTATTTTTTGATCCAAACTATAACACAATTTCAATCTTTGTTAACATAATTTTAAATTTCTTTGTTTAAAAAAACATAAAAAAATCCATTCAACTTTCAGACATTTGTGCTCCATTGTAAAACGGAATCACATCCCCTTCTCTCCCTTTTGTGTCTGAGCCATGACTCTGTAACAGGACACTTAAACTGAAGCTGCTAAGTTTAGACCTGTTATCTGGCACAGATTCAAAGACTGAGGTCTTTTCAACGTCTGTGTGTCTTTTTCAGGATTTGACATCAGCGCTCACTAAACAGATCACCATGAAGACCCCCTTTGTCTCCTCCCCTATGGACACAGTAACAGAGGCCAACATGGCTATTGCCATGGCGGTGAGTTTCACAGAAACGCTTTCTGTCTGTTGACCTGATGTTTATTAGGCATGTCCCCATCCCAAAACCTTATTGGAAATTAGCCAGAGAACAAGTATCTGTTTATAGATTGCAAATCTCAGTATTTATCAGCACTTTGTGTGTGTTTTTTCGTCTCAGTTGACGGGAGGCATCGGCTTCATCCACCACAACTGTACTCCAGAGTTCCAGGCTAACGAAGTTCGCAAAGTCAAGGTGCTGATCACAGTATTCCCAAATTTCTCTTTCTCCTTTAGTTGTATTATTAACATGTTTTCTTTCAGTATAGCTTCTTTTGATGTGGCCTTTATATTTATATATTATCTTGATCTTTTTCATCATCTCACTGTCTGTTTCTGCATGTTTGTTTTACTTCCTGAGGGCAGCGATGTCGTCTGTAGATCTTTTAGTGCTGTCTTCCTCTGTTGCTCGTCTCCCAGCTGTAGAATGTAGTCAGTGATTGCTTTGTATTCCCTTTGTTGCCCCCAATTGTTCCACATCCCAATTCCTGTTTTCCCACAACCCCTCCAGCGATACGAGCAGGGCTTCATCACAGACCCTGTGGTTATGAGCCCCAATGAGCGAGTGAGGGACGTCTTCCAGGCCAAGGCGCGCCATGGCTTCTGCGGGATCCCCATCACGGACAACGGCAAAATGGGCGGCAAGCTGGTGGGGATAATCTCTTCCAGAGACATTGATTTTCTAAAGGAGGAGGATCACAACTTGCCGCTAAGTGAGGTGAGTCATAAATGTATAGATGAAACATGCATAAACCGAAAATGGGAGGAAACTGTGTTTTAAGTTGAAAGCA